CCGGCCTCCAGGTCAGACCAGCCGATCGTCCCAGTCTCTGACTCCGCTGCGTGAAAAAGCGGGGAACAATGTACCTGACCCATGGCTCAGAGCTTCTGTCTGTGTAACACCTGGTCAGAAGGCAGACCAGGTTTTGTCGTGGGGACCCTCAAGGTGGTCCCTTCCTTCAGCCGTTGGGGAGCAAGCCTTCCTGCTTCGGCTCCACTTCTGCGTTGGAAGTCGGGCACTGCCGCCCCCACTTCTTCGCTGCCTCCTTGCGTTGGAGAAAGTCCTCAGACCCGTCTCGTTGGTCCCCTTTGGCTCTGGGCAGCTGGGGTCCACCTGCGGTGGGCTGGACCCATGATGGGGCGTCGACCCTCGCGGTGGGGTGCCCCCGGCCCTTTTGGTTAGGGCTCCTCCTGGCATTCGCCGGACTCAGTCCCCTCCTCTGGCTCGACCCTCGTGGCCAAGGCGTGATGGCGCTCCGTGTCTCCCTCTCGGAGATGTGATCCCTCCTCATGGAGGCCACGTGACCAACCTCATGGTTGGTCACGTTTCTGAAACAATGTTTTGGCAAAAGGGTTATTTGCCCCCCCCCCTGCCTGTCCTCTGGGTCTGCGCTGCCAGGGCCTAGCCTCAGTCTATATAATAATAATAATAATGGTCTCCATATAACTTTACTCATGGGTTATCAGTTTGAGTTTTCAAAACACTCCTCTCTCCAGCCTTGGAGAGCAGATAAGTGCATTCTGCTGCTGTCTGCTCTCCTACATGTGCAGTCTCTCACATAAGTGAGGCCTCACTAACTAATTATTCTATGTTGGTAAAACAACAACCTATATCCTAAAGATCAAATAAACTTAAGTGTTCTGATGATTGTGTATCAAGATGAAAACTCATGGAGACCTGCAGGTGTTCAAAAACCAGGCCTGTGGGCCAATTGTGGTCCGCCAGACATTTTAGTGTCTTCTAAAATGATTCTCAATTATAATTAAGTATAAACTGGCAGTCTTAATTGCAAGGTTAATTTGAACCCCAGTGCATTATTCCTAATAATTTTTTTAAAACAAACTCCCTCTGGAAAATTACCATATACCTTCTAATGTGTTGGAAAAACCACCTGAATTGTTAACTTAACAAACTTTGTTAAATCTATTAAACTATTCTAAATACCTTCATAATGTTAAAGAAAAATGTGTATCCACAAACTGGGAAGATTCAACACTTCATTACTTTCGGCCTTGGCGTTTGTTTTGTCTGTCAGACCTCTGCTCTTATCACCCTCAAGAGTCACAGCCTTACAGAGCTTTGACAAACTGAATAATATCCTAATACTCAAAGCTATACTATACACTTGAATTTAAACAAAAAATATTAACAAGTTAAAGTTTAAAATAAATAAAACTACACTAACCACCTGGTGTATGTGGGGTCTCTTACCATTTAACAACTAAAAACTATTGAAAACGTATCCAAACATATGGTAAATACTGCTTTATGTGAAACCCATATATGACCCACACACAATCCTCATTTATCGACCATGTCCCCCTTACTTTTACTGTAAACATGTGTCTGTAAATACATATATGTGTGTGCTACTGTATGTGTATGTCAAATACACAAAATGAATGTAACGAGTGGTATGTGTTCATATGTTCTTTGGGTAGGAAACAGACTTATAATATACTTGGTTTTATTACGTGTACTGTAGTATCATCACAGTGTTTAAGACTTACCATTTCCATATTCTTGACCTAGAGAGTGTTCTAGATTTGTTTACAGATGTGTAAATACAAGTATACATTTATTTACACTAGAGTACACAATACCTTACCTTGTACCTTTACCGAGCCAAATTATTTTACATTCAAAAGTATAGAGTTGTGCTACACTTACTATTCACCTGTCTTGTGTTGTAATGCAACACTGAAATGTCCCCACTGTGGGACGTCTGAAAATCTCTTAATCTTATCATTACTGACTGTTGCTAAAATGAAAACTGACTAAAACGAGTGCAGTCTAAAGTCACACAATGCTGCATTTACAAAAATACAGGAAAAAAAATAACAAAACCAAAAACTGGGGTCCCCCTTTGGCCTTCGTGCACCTATTGAAGGAAAAATATAAAAACCTTAGAATTACAAAAATATGCATTTGCCAAGTCTACCACTACAACAACAAAAATACTTGGCTTTAAACATTTTTGGAGTCCTCATGAGGAAAATAGATAAACGATTTGGACCTATTTTGCTCCTGGTTTATTTTGTTTATTGCAAAGATGGCTTTGTTTACGCCTCTGAAATGTACGATTACTCCAGCCTCTGCCAGAGTTATTTAACATGCCTCATTTTCAGAGCAGTCACTCTGACGTCTGGCACTGTCTCTCTGTGACGTAGAAGTCAAACTCTCCACGTCTCTATGTTTTGGCTGGAAATGTCTTTTCAGCTGTTTTATGCCAATCACACACTTTCACACTTCTGTTCCCAAAACTACAAGCCCCTCCCACTCTGCGGCTCTAGGCTCTAACAGAAACAATGTGTAATGTTGTGTGTGTGCTGTGGGTCATTATTGTCCTTATCTCTCTCATACCATTCTCTCTCTCTCTCTCAGACCAGTTACATTCACCCCAAACTCTGTTTTCTACATCACAATCGAGCAATGCATATTTCCAAAGTTATGAAAACCTCAGGTCGTCTGACTAAAACATTACATTTACTAAATTGATTGTGGGATTTGGTGACAATTTACATTCAAATACATTATAGACAGACAACTTCTGTCAGAGTACTATTATACTACAAGGGATTTTTACCATTTTATTTCTTATTTTTACACACAGACCACAGATTTAGTCTCGGCCGTGGAAAACAACTGGGCAATTTGAAAAATACAGAAACTCTGTTTAACTCACAACCTTCGGATTATTCAGAACATTTCAATGGATTTATGAAAAATTCCTTTGTCATGTTTCGCCTCTAAAGAAAAGAATGTGTCCTTCACCCATTCGGGGACGTTATGTAATAAATAAAGTCCTTAATCAAGGAGTATGTGGCCCACGGAATTGATTAAAGTAACCTATCCCCCACTCTATTTTTCTCTTCTTTTTTTTTTCTCTGACAATAGGGTTTGTCAAGCTACTCTAAACTTTAGAATAGTCTAAATTTGTGCATACGTCAATGATCACATCCATCCCCAAATGAGTGCTTGTGTTTGTGTTGTCCTGACTTCTGGACATGTGTAGATGTGTGTTTGAGTCATGTTTTGTTTACGATACCCGGACCATGGTCTGCCTCGTCCAGATCGTCCGTGGGACCCTCCCAGACCCTCGTCCTCCAGTCAGTCAGTCCCATATCGTTCATGCTGGTTCCTGTGGAACTGTCCGGAAACATGGTGGGCCTGGGGCCATTTTGTCAGAACCAGTTGTTGCTTTGTCTCTGTCCACTCTTTGACTGCTGCTGCGGGCGGGGCTTCCCTTGTCAGTGGGAAAGTTTCTTGTGAACTGCCCTATCTCTTCACAGGGATAGAAGCCTGTGGTCCTCTCCCTACACAGGGATAGAAGCCTGTGTTCCCATTCTCTGCAGGGATAGAAGCCTGTGGTCCCACCTGTATCAGGGCGGGTGATGGGCGGAGGGGGGGGGGGCAGAGTTCTTGGCATGACTGGTTTGGGCACAGGGGGCCGGGGACAGAGTTCTTGGCTTTCATGACTGGTTTGGGGCACCAGACTTGTCCATGTTGGGCTTTGTGGGTAACTGACGGGGGTTCTGGTTCAGGAAGGGGTTTGTCTTACCCTCCATATCATTGTTCTCCATCAGAGTCTGAGGTTTGGGGACGTTTAGTCACACGTCCAGGGTCTAGGTCGGGGTCCACACATCTGACCGGCTCAGAAGCATCCACGATCCCAGGGTTATCTATGTGAAAATAGAAAAAAGAGGTACGGCAGTAACTTGCCCTTTGATAGATTGCGTGTGCGTGTTTGCGTGCGTGTGTGTGTGTGTGTGTGTGTGTGTCGTCGCGCCTATACGCCTCTTGATAGAGTATTCAGGTGGTTCGATTGGGTCTCTTACATACATTCATGCTCTCATTCTGACTTTCCATTCGCTCTCCACACAGACTTGTATTTCTTTGTTTATCAGTCACTCTCACAGTCATTCTCGGTCACTCCAGTTCAAGTCTTATCACTCCTGGCTCACTTCACACATCTCATGTCACTTTCATACCAGTCTGAGTCGCCCAGGACTGTACTGGTTCTGGGCTCTGTATGTGTTTGTAATGTGTGTATGGTTACATTTCCCCCAATGTAATTAACCAACTAATTAGTTTAAATCAACTACTCTTATTTTCTTTTCTTTTACTCCCTCTACTTCATCCGTTCACATACTCAAACACTCATATTTTGTCAAGAATTTGTACACAGTACGCCAGACTCATTATTACATACGTCAGAATCTATTTGGTAGGTTTCATTTGCTAATTTTCTAAATGTTTGTAGTTTATAGACTTGATTTAAGCTTGAAGACCTACTGTCCGGGAAACCCTATTTTTCCAGACCATACATTTGAACATTCAAGGGCCGTTGGCCCATATTTTCCGGCCATTGCGGTTTGTGGGACCTTGTCCCTGTCAGATGACAATGATCCCTGATTTTGACCCATCTTGGCCCACTCTGGCTGTCCCTATTCTCCTTACTATGCCTCAGAGTCAAGCCAGTTAATACAACAATTAACCCTTAAACTCACTAGTTAACGTCAAGCCAGTTAAAATAACATCTGTAACCATGAAGACAGGAACCATTTAACCCTTAAACTCACTAGTTAACGTCAAGCCAGTTAAAATAACATCTGTAACATGAAGACAGGAACCATTTAACTCTGAGAACAGGACAGCCAAGGCCTCTCACTGGGTAAAAAAATGGGGCTTTTAGTTTTGCGCGGAGAGATAAAATACGGGGTTCTTTTGACAGTTTGAAAAGAATACAGCTCTTACCACACTTGTTGTTTAAGTTGGTTCGTTTGGTCACCATGCGCTGGACGGGTCCGCCAGGTGTGGAGCCAGAAATCCTCCTTTATCTCGAAAGTTGCGAGGGGAAAGACCGACTCAAGGTCGGGGTTGCGACCCTTCCCGGATCCAAACACAGCGGACCCAGTTCCAGACGACGGGACTGTTCGTTGACGCCAAATTGTTGTAGAATTACTGCACATAACAAGAGTAAAATAATGTAAACAACCCAGAGCTGTAATTCCAAACAAAGTGTGAGTTTATTCATTAGTAAATGTGCACAATTACAATGAATAACAGAACCGATACCAATACCACCGGGCAGCCGTCCGAAATCGACTGCCACGATGGAGGAAATGACTGTACATTAAATAGACCAGAGTAAACAAACACATATCTACTCTAGATATTACATAAATGAAGTCAACATTGATATGTGTTGCTCAAGGCTTCTCTTTACGCCTCCTAACGCTAATACAACTCTGATATATGTAACAATCTTCTTGTGAACTGAACATATTGTTCTATGACCCAGGTCAAAGACATGATGCAGCACGTCTCCATCTATCACTGACCTGAGCCAACAGAGCATTATGGCCTGTATCTGAATCCAGAGTTGACTATTAGTTAATAACTTACACTCATAACTATTTGGTGTTAATTCAGATTGCTTTACTAAAATATTTCTATAACAGCCTCTTTTCGCAACACCTGCTGAGGTGAGCGTGCACGAGCTGCTCTTGGTCCTGGTCGCGGCCTCCCCAGACGCCGCATGGTTTGGTTGTTTTTTTAGCCATTCGTTAGCTTTTTTTCGGTCCTTATTTTTGTTTGATCTGGTGGGTCCGGTGGTTCACATTTGTGTAATGAGGTGATGAGGTGGAAACTTCTGTGCGGTTACAGCAGAGGTGTAAACATCTTCTCTCTTTGGAATCTGGTTGTTTTATTACAACCAAAGAATCAAGTGGACGGCTTTCTTTACTTCAGTGGATGCAGGGGGTGAGTCCACAGAAGCCTTGATCTTTCAGTGGGGGCTTCAGGCAAAGTGGGGTTAAGTGTTTTAACAAGAATTTGTCAAGAACTCTTGCTCTAAAACTCTGACAACATCTCACAAACTTCAAAGCTGAAAGTTTTTCTCCTGTTTGGCATATTTTGTGTGTTTTAGCAAGATATCTTCCGGAGAAACATAGGATGATGAATACAACTAAATAAAGAATGCAGACTTGTAAATAAATACATAAGCAGTGTGACAAGAGTATAGTAACATCTCGGTGGTCGGTCGTGTCGTTTCTTTACTTCAGAATAAACCACTGGGTCCAGTCGTGGTGAGACTGAGGCACTTCTGGGCACCACCTTCACTCCTGCATACGTCACCTCAGCCTGTGCATCAACAATGTAAACTGACGTCAGGATCATGGGGAAAAATTGTATTTGTTGAAGCGAGCAGAAGTAGACTCCTGTTGGTGACAAGTTTGTACCACACTCTACTTTCCCAATAACTCCTGGTCAGACATTTCATTTCTACGGCTTCTCCGAGCTTTGCAGTTCTCAAACATTCTTGCTGCTGGATTTCCACTAACTGAGCTGCACCTGAAACACAAAACAACAGTTAAAGAGAGTGAGACGTGAAAGGTTCTGTGTGTTACTTACACTGAGACCAGAGCAGAACGCTGAGACTCAACAACACTTTCATCTTGGCAGATTCTGCAAAAATGTGGTTAGAAGAGTTAGAAACATGAAGTGTGAATGCTCCATTCTGATTGGCTCGTACACATTCATGCCTGATTGGCTGAAAAGGTAAAAAAACAAGGGATTGACTCACTATAAATGCACAATGAATGAGAATCACAACATGCTTTATGGGTTTATGAAGCTAAAACAAAGCTGACGCTCTCAAAACCACACTCTCTGAAACCCATGCCAGTCCTCCTTCAATCACCACATTGAACTGATCTCAGCGCTAATGTGAACTTATCAATTATAACTTTGTTCATCCAAGAAAAAAAGTATTGCATCTGATTTTCTCTCATTTTGTAAAATCAGAGAAAAATCAGTGTGACATCACCACAGTTTTAGTTTCAATGCATAAGAGGCTGATTTGAACATAAACTGGAGCCATTTTCCTTATATGGGCGTGCTTTCTGACAGCATATGATTTGTCAGTCCTTATTAGGCTCATAACTGGATTTACAAAGACAATATCACATTATAAACCAGGATCACAGTCAGCACTAAACGACAGACTTAAGCCCAAAATGGTGAGTTTGACACAGACTGAGCTGGAGGAGTTTACTTTTACAAGCCCCGAGCGAGTTCCCTACCCTTCATGGAGGTAGGAGGTTAGCATTGTTCATCTATGTATGACTGTGTACGAGCCAATCAGAACGGAGCATTCACACTTCATGTTTCTAACTCTTCTAACCACATTTTTTCAGAATCTGCCAAGATGAAAGTGTTGTTGTGTCTCAGCGTTCTGCTCTGGTCTCAGTGTAAGTAACACACAGAACCTTTCACATTTCACTTTCTTCAACTGTTGTTTTGTGTTTCAGGTGCAGCTCGGTTACAGGAAATCCAGCAGCAAGAATGTTTGAGAACTGCAAAGCTCGGAGAAACTGTACAAATTAAATGTCTGGGCAAGAGTTATCGGGAAACCTATTTCTGGTTCAAACTGAGCACTAACAGGAGTCTGCACGTTGTCGCTTCAGAAAACTTGTTTCAGCAAAATCCACCAAGAGATGATCATTATTCAGTGAAATCTTCTGAAGATCAAACCACTTTGACCATAAAGCAGATGAGGAAGGAGGATGTCGGCACGTACTACTGTGGAATCATCAGTTCTTTTAATGCTTTCTTTGGATCAGGCACTGTTCTGGAGCTGGATCAGGACTCAGAGCCTCTACAGTCCATGGTTCAGACCCCAGACTTGGTCCCAGTGAAGTCAGGAGACTCTGTGACCCTCAGCTGCTCATTCAACACCAGCCGATGTTCAGGACAAACCAGCGTCACTTGGATTAGAAGTGGTTTCAAGTCTGAGATTATCGAACGTAACTCTGGAAATGAGAATATATTCTGTGGGAGCGCTGGAGAAACTTCTTGTGTTCATAATCTGACTCTGAAAGATGTAAAGTCCAGAGAAGAGGGGACCTACCTCTGTGTGGTGTCCGCCTGTGGACACACTCTCACTGGGACAAGGATCCATGAGAACGGTACGGAAAATATATCTTATATGTGTCTCTTTCACCTCTTGAGGGAATCAGGAAGTTACTTCTTTGATAAAACTGTAACATTAGTCAAAATACATTTCTCACAAAAAACTTCCTAGAAAAACCTTCTATAAGCTCAAGTTTTATTTATTTTAATAATTTCATCCATTGAAAACACATTAGTGGAAGTTCTGTTGCGAGTACACAGAAGATGGAAAAGTACTTAATATTTGTAGTTTGGTATTCAAAGTATATATTTTCTGTCTTCAGTAGAAACCACAGTTCTCTCTGAGGCCGAGCCCTACACTCTGATTGTGTCAGTCGTTGTGCTTGGACTGGTGGTGTGTGTCCTACTGTGGGGGATTTGGAGAAGCAGCCAGAAAAGAGGTACGTTATATAATGCATAAGTGCCATTTCATGTCCACAGAGCAGTGGCCCTTTATCTCACACACTCACACCAGAATATACGTCTTTTTCAGAAGTGAAGCGCTGTGACCATCGGTCTCTCTCCACTCAGGTCAGACTGAAGTCCTGCCTTCTCATCTGTACTACACTTTCTAGACTCTGAACTGTGGTCCAACACCAACATCAAATACTAACTTGCATCAATCACAGCAATTGTTAGAAATTCAGTCTCATAGATTGCAGTGCATTCCTGTAGCCAGTCGTCTGTTACGATGGTCCAGGTCGTCATCTCTGAGGCCAAACATGGTAAATAGTTTACATGGTCCTTCTACAGTCTATTCAGGCCAACCATCAGACACCGGCTCCACCTGAGGTATATGTACCAAACAACACGTTGGCCACTTTGGAGCTCGACCTTTCACTGTCCAGGGACTGTTCCCACTCATAATTAGAGTAAATGAGTCATCAGAGGCCAAAACCACATGGCCTCGGGCAGTTTTACCCACGGCTGGAGGAGTTGCAAAGTTCCTTTAAAAATGATTTATTTTTCAAGTGTATTTTATAAACATCCACTGCCGTAGTATGCAGTAGTGCTGCAGTACAAAGAGATAAAAAAGCTTTAGTAAAAGAACTGACAGTGACAACAATGTATCAGAATCCAAAATATAAAAATGATTATCAGAATTTAGATAAAAGAACGATTCAGTTCAACAGTAGTAATTAGCATAAATGAATGAATGAATGAACACAATCCCGTACCACATGAACCCCGTGTTGTACAGGAACCCGATGCAAACAAAATGTCTGAGCCAGACGTGTCGTCTGTGAATGAATGAAGCAGTCTTTGGATGCAGATACAACTAATTGTGAGTTTTCATGAGTTTCTCCTCGGTTACAGCCTGACGACGGCCTCACGTACACAGCTGGGGAGTTGCTGTCTTCCTCCGGGTCGACCACAGCGAGACTCAGGAGAGACCGAGACTCGTACACAAAGGTCTGGTACTGTCACTGCGAATGAGGACCCAGCTCTGAACCCAAACGCTTCCATCAACTCCTCGCTCTGAAGAAATGTGTTTGTTTTCTCTGTTGTTTGCTATGAAATAAAATACTTTAAACTCATCTTGTTGTTTGTTTTTGGAGGAAACTTCAGATATTAGTGTTTTTCGGGTCAGATACTCGTTTTTATCGGAGAATAACTTACATTTGTTAAAGCAAGTAAGACACTTGGGACTCACTTCTCCAGAGGCCACAGTCCGGCGGGGGGGACGTGGTCAGTCGGACGTTTCAAGCCTTAAACATAAAGAAGACATAATACACTTTTTAAAATTAATGTCCAGGTCTGTTTTGTGTTTATCGTCATTGAACTGATGAAGAAAAGCAGATTATTTTCACAGCTTCAGTGAAACCACAGGCTCTCTCAGCAGCAGTGCATCATGGTCCGTCAGACATGTTCACATTCTGCTGCCAAAGCCACACAGGACTGAAGGCTGTGGTTTGAAGGGTGTATCTCTGCATCTGTACTGACTCTTTTGCTTTGGTCATATCCGGTTGGAGCCGATGCTTTTCTCTCACAATGTTCAGTTATTATAGAAGACAGAAACATAAAGTATTAGATAATGTCAGATTAAAGTCGTTCTTTTAGACACTGGACAAGTTTCAGTTGTAGAAGTTAGCAGCATGTTTAAATGGTGTCTAAAAGATTCACTTATAGATCTTAAAAACATTTGATAATCTGTCATTGGAGGAAGAAACTGGACTTTACTACAGAATAGATTAGAACTTATTTGGAGACATTATATTTGTTGTTAAGCAGCGGGTAGAAAGATTTCTTCTGAGTGCCAATGAGAGCTCTAATTATAACTACATTGGGCCTCATGTATGAAAGTTGCGTAGAAAAGGGTGTATATTTTGGGTGTATATTCCATTTACGCAACATCCGACGTGGCATTTATGAACGTGTGAGATACGCACAGATCTGAGCGTACGCACCTGCGGCTGTTGATAAATGCCGCGCTCAAAACCAGCGTATTTATGAAAGTCACGCCTAGAAATATTCAGAAACTGCCTTTTCCACGCCCTGTTTTTGCGACTGTTTTTGAATGAGGCAAAAAGTGTATTTTATAAACATCCACTGCCGTAGTATGCAGTAGTGCTGCAGTACAAAGATAAAAAATCTTTAGTAAAAGAACTGACAGTGACAACAATGTATCAGAATCCAAAATATAAAAATGATTATCAGAATTTAGATAAAAGAACGATTCAGTTCAACAGTAGTAATTAGCATAAATGAATGAATGAATGAACACAATCCCGTACCACATGAACCCCGTGTTGTACAGGAACCCGATGCAAACAAAATGTCTGAGCCAGACGTGTCGTCTGTGAATGAATGAAGCAGTCTTTGGATGCAGATACAACTAATTGTGAGTTTTCATGAGTTTCTCCTCGGTTACAGCCTGACGACGGCCTCACGTACACAGCTGGGGAGTTGCAGTCTTCCTCCAGGTCGACCACAGCGAGACTCAGGAGAGACCGAGACTCGTACACAAAGGTCTGGTACTGTCACTGCGAATGAGGACCCAGCTCTGAACCCAAACGCTTCCATCAACTCCTCGCTCTGAAGAAATTTGTTTGTTTTCTCTGTTGTTTGCTATGAAAAAAATCCCAGCTCATTTTGGATTGTGAGAATTGATGTTCTGAGTTTAATGTATTCACTTACAGACGCAGATGAAATGTACTTGTTTAGACGTTCAACCTGAGGACTGACTCAGCATGTGACTGGTCCCACCCACAACAGAGGACACAGTCTAGACCTGCTAATTACCAATGTTTCAAATGTAAATGTGCTCGATGTTGCTGTGTTGGATCATTTTTCGGCTAGTGGGAGTCAGAACTAAGCATGGGGCAGGCAGCATTTCGGTTAGGGTTAGGGTTACAGTGGGGAGAGGGGCAATTACTGCAGTAATCTCACCCTGCCCCCTCTCCCCCACTGTCCGCAACCTGGGAGTAATTTTTGACCCCATCCTGTCATTTGAACACCATATCCAAAATCTCTGTAGAATCTCCTTTTTTAATGTCAAAAACATCTCCAAACTCCGCTCCACTCTCTCCCCCTCTGACGCTGAAACTTTAGTTCATGCCTTTGTCTCTTCCAGGCTGGATTACTGCAACGCCCTCCTCGTCGGGATCCCGGCAAAAAGCCTTCAAAAGCTTCAGCATATCCAAAATACCGCTGCCAGGATCCTGACGAGGACGCCGAAGCACCAGCACATCACCCCAGTCCTCCGCGATCTTCACTGGCTTCCAATCATCCAACGCATCCAATACAAAATCTGCCTCCTCACCTACCAATGCATCCACGGACATGCCCCGGACTATCTCACAGAACTTCTCACTCCTTCACCCATAACCAGAGCACTCCGGTCCACAGACACCAACCTCCTCTCCATCCCCAGAACTAAACTCCGGACAATGGGTGACAGGGCTTTCCAGGCGGCTGCTCCCAAACTGTGGAACGCCCTACCACCACACCCGAGGGCCCCACAGTCATTGGAGACCTTCAAAAGAGGACATAAAACTTTTCTGTTCCCTTCTTAACATTGTTTTAACATTGTTTTAACTTTAATGATGTGTGCTTTTACTGTTGTTGTTCTGTAGCACTTTGAGATTTGTATGTAAAGTGCATTACAAATTAAAGGTATTATTATTATTATTGTTATTATTATTATTAATTGTCTTCCTGAAAATATGAGAAAGGCTTCTTCTCCGACAAATCCAGGTTAAAAACCGTTCTGTTTAGCTGTGCTACAACTGAAGGAATGCTTCTTCACCTGGACATTTGTGACAGTTGAGTTTTACCGTCCTGGTGATGTGAATATGATTTGAATGCCTTGTGTGATTGTATCTTGTTTTGTTAGTGTTGTGGAAATTCTGCACATACCCAGAGTAAAATAATGTAAACAACCAAGAGCTGTAAAACCATCAAAGTGTGAGTTTATTCATTAGTAAATGTGCACAATTACAATGAATAACAGAACCGATACCAATACCACCTGCAGCCGTCTGAAATCGACTGCCCCGATTGAGGAAATTACTGTACATTAAATAGACCAGAGTAAACAAACACATATCTACTCTAGATATTACAGAGATGAAGTCAACATTGATATGTGTTGCTCAAGGCTTCTCTTTACGCGTCCTAACGCTGATACAACTCTGATATATGTAACAATCTGCTTTTGAACTGAACATATTGTTCTATGACCCAGGTCAAAGACATGATGCAGCTCGTCTCCATCTATCACTGACCTGAGCCAACAGAGCATTATGGCCTGTATCTGAATCCAGAGTTGACTATTAGTTAATAACTTACACTCATAACTATTTGGTGTTAATTCAGGTCGCTTTACTAAAATATTTCTATAACATTAGACCTTTGAGTCACCTTGTGTATGAACTATGCTATACATATAAACATACAGTGCCTTGCCTTTCATTGAACACCACCTTTAAAATAAATCCCAGCTATGCTGGAGCAAAGGCAGGTTTTATTAATATGAGAGAATGTTTGAGTTTGTCAGGTATGTAAAGGTAATATATTGTAACTATAGACTGTTTGTAAGGTTAAGATAAGATAGACTTATTTGATCTCACACTGGAAAAAGGTACATGTCACATTTGGCACAGATAGAATCACTCAGATTGTGCAAAGGACAGAAGTGTGCAACATGTTAAAGGTTAAAAGTATAATCTGTGCAGGATATAATTATGTACAATAAAAGAGTGGCAGTAATTTCAGTCCTTGTGCATCAGTGACTTGTACAGTCTGACAGTGGGTGAGGCCTTCATCCCTCCTGTCCTTCACCTCCTCCACAGAGTCCAGGGGCCTCCTATCCTTCACCTCCTCCACAGAGTCCAGGGGCCTCATGTCCCTCACCTCCTACTGACCAGCTTGTTCAGTCTGCTCCTGTCCCACTCTGTGCTGCCCGGGGCCCAGCACATGGCAGCGTAGTATATGGCAGAGGCTACCACAGAGTCATAAAAAGTCCTGAGCAGAGGCCTGCTCACTCAGAAGGACATCAGCCTCCCCAGAAGGACCTCAGTCTCCTCAGAAGGACCTCAGTCTCCTCAGAAGGACCTCAGCCTCCTCAGAAGGACCTCAGCCTCCTCAGAAGGACCTCAGTCTCCTCAGAAGGACCTCAGCCTCCTCAGAAGGACCTCAGTCTCCTCAGAAGGACCTCAGCCTCCTCAGAAGGACCTCAGCCTCCCCAGAAGGACCTCAGCCTCCCCAGAAGGACCTCAGTCTCCTCAGAAGGACCTCAGCCTCCTCAGAAGGACCTCAGCCTCCCCAGAAGGACCTCAGCCTCCTCAGAAGGACCTCAGCCTCCCCAGAAGGACCTCAGTCTCCTCAGAAGGACCTCAGTCTCCTCAGAAGGACCTCAGCCTCCTCAGAAGGAAGAGGCGACTTTGGCCCTTCTTGTGCAGGGCGTTTGTATTATGGACCAGTCCAGTTTATTGTTAATGTGAACACCCAGGTACTTGAAGCTGTCACCAGCTCAATGTCCTCCCCCTGGATGTTCAGCAGCGTGTGGGAAAGTGGTTTTCTCCTGAAGTCGATGATCATCTCCTTGGTCTTACTGGTGTTCAAGCACAAGTGGTTGCGCTCACATCAGTCGACAAAGTCCTTGATAACCGACCGATATTCCAGATCGTTCCCCACAGACACACAGCCCACGATGGCGGAGTCGTCGGAAAACTTCTGCAGGTGACAGCTGTGTGTGTCGTGTGTGAAGTCTGAGGTGTAGATGGTGAAGAGAAACGGTGAGAGGACAGTGCCCTGAGCTGCTCCAGTGCTGCAGACGACCACCTCAGGCGAATGAAGGTATCTGATGATCAATCTTTTTATGTCTCTTATCTAGGTGACAATTCAAAGACAATATGCAGTTCACCTTGGAGAGACCCATGAGGAAAATGCCGTTAGAGTTATTAGATTTAAGCTTGTTTATTAGATTGAGCATGTTTGGCGCCCTAGGCCCGGGAGGGATGCTGTTGAGCGCGGCGCTTGCTCGCGTGCATAATCCCCCCCGGGGCCTAGGCACTGGTGGCGGCAGAGGCAGTAGGCAAGCACGCTTTGGTGAGAAAAGGAGGAGGTGGGGCGGCGGAGGCTTGCAGACTTCAGAAGGCCGGGAAGTGGGAGTCTCCGGCTTTTAACTTGCTGTCCTGGTGGTTATTGGTTGGTTGGATGTGGGCGTTGCTGGTCTGATTAGCCGAGGAAGAGCAGCCTGTAGATCTGGGAAAGCAGGAGCCGGGTCTACCACGGTGAACTTTCGCAAAAGCTCCATATTTAAACACAGGATCACGGATGTTTTAAGCCCAAAATGGCGAGTGTGACATAAACTTCCCTATTGGGTTTCATTGAGTTAGCAGCTAAGCTGTATACATTCCATATAATTACAGTCTATGCTAGGAACCAACTTCACGGAGGAGTTTGTCCTGTTTTATTCTACATGGTTTGGTGAACTGCAGCAGTAAGTTTGCTCTAAAACAAACAAACAACAATTTGAGTTTAAAGTATTTTATTTCATAGCAAACAACAGAGAAAACAAACACATTTCTTCAGAGTGAGGAGTTGATGGAAGCGTTTGGGTTCAGAGCTGGGTCCTCATTCGCAGTGACAGTACCAGACCTTTGTGTACGAGTCTCGGTCTCTCCTGAGTCTCGCTGTGGTCGACCTGGAGGAAGACTGCAACTCCCCAGCTGTGTACGTGAGGCCGTCGTCAGGCTGTAACCGAGGAGAAACTCATGAGAACTCACGAAAAAGCTCTTGTAAAAAGTTGTGCCTGTATCCAAAGACTGAGGAGGCCACCAGAACATTTGTATTGAGTTTGAAATGACTTATTACAACATGATAGATCCTATGTGTCTCCTATTTGTGTTTACTTAAATCGCTCTTGTATTCAAATTGTTATCATCCTTTTTGTACACGATATTTCACCTACTTTTACTTCTGCACTACTGCATACTACGGCAGTGGATGTTCAAAAAAGAAAATAAAATTTTAAAGGTAAACTGCAACTCCTCCAGCCGTGGGTAAAACTGCCCGAGGCCCTGTGGTTTTGGCCTCTGATGACTCATTTACTCTAATTATGAGTGGGAACAATCCCTGGACAGTGAAAGGTCGAGCTCCAAAGTGGCCATCGTGTTGTTTGGTACATATACCTCAGGTGGAGCCGGTGTCTGATGGTTGGCCTGAATAGACTGTAGAAGGACCATGTAAACTATTTACCATGTTTGGCCTCAGAGATGACGACCTGGACCATCGTAACAGACGACTGGCTACAGGAATGCACTGCAATCTATGAGACTGAATTTCTAACAATTGCTGTGATTGATGCAAGTTAGTATTTGATGTTGGTGTTGGACCACAGTTCAGAGTCTAGAAAGTGTAGTACAGATGAGAAGGCAGGACTTCAGTCTGACCTGAGTGGAGAGAGGCCGATGGTCACAGCGCTTCACTTCTGAAAAAGACGTATATTCTGGTGTGAGTGTGTGAGATAAAGGGCCACTGCTCTGTGGACATGAAATGGCACTTATGCATTATATAACGTACCTCTTTTCTGGCTGCTTCTCCAAATCCCCCACAGTAGGACACACACCACCAGTCCAAGCACAACGACTGACACAATCAGAGTGTAGGGCTCGGCCTCAGAGAGAACTGTGGTTTCTACTGAAGACAGAAAATATATACTTTGAATACCAAACTACAAATATTAAGTACTTTTCCATCTTCTGTGTACTCGCAACAGAACTTCCACTAATGTGTTTTCAATGGATGAAATTATTAAAATAAATAAAACTTGAGCTTATAGAAGGCTTTGCTAGGAAGTTTTTTGTGAGAAATGTATTTTGACTATTGTTACAGTTTTATCAAAGAAGTAACTTCCTGATTCCCTCAAGAGGTGAAAGAGACACATATAAGATATCTTTTCCGTACCGTTCACATGGATCCTTGTCCCAGTGAGAGTGTGTCCACAGGCGGACACCACACAGAGGTAGGTCCCCTCTTCTCTGGACTTTACATCTTTCAGAGTCAGATTATGAACACAAGAAGTTTCTCCAGCGCTCCCACAGAATATATTCTCATTTACAGAGTTACGTTCAATAATCTCAGACTTCAAACCACTTCTAATCCAAGTGACGCTGGTTTGTCCTGAACATCGGCTGGTGTTGAATGAGCAGCTGAGGTCACAGAGTCTCCTGACTTCACTGGGACCAAGTCTGGGGTCTGGACCATGGACTGAAGAGGCTCTGAGTCCTGATCCAGCTCCAGAACAGTGCCTGATCCAAAAGCAACTTCATTAGATTTCGGTACTCCACAGTAGTAGGTGCCGACATGGTCTGTTCTCATGTTCTTTATGGTCAAATTGGTTTCATTTGGAGTAGACGTCACTGAAATATCATCAAACTCTTTTTCTTCATTGACCATATTTGTTGACGCGATCAGATGCAGATTCCTGTTGGTGCTTTGTTTATACCAAACCCTGTTCCTCCAAACACTCTTGGTCAGACACTTCAGAACCACGGTCTCTCCGAGCTTTGCCCTTTTCAAACATTCGAGCTGCTGAACTTGTCGTGTCTGTGCCGCACCTGAAAAACAACACAAAAACAACACACAGGTTCTGAAAAGTCTGTAAATGTCCCAGTTTTCTCTGCAGATCTGCTCAAACTCACACAGCGCCCAGAGCACAGGGAGGAGGACAGCGTTCAGCATCACCATCGTGAGAAGACTGATTGGATGTGGGCAGGGTGGAAATATAAGGTGGGGAGCGGAGCATTCTGATTGGACGAAAGGAGTTGATGCTGACTTGGAAGCACGACTGTGCAAATGTCTTGCAAAGGCTCATGAGTTGATCTCTGAAAAGATATGGTTGAACTAAACCTCGAAACCATCTCTGAAGCGCTTCCCCTCTTGCAACACCTCTCTCTGCACTGGTGCGTAACTTAAAGGGGACATAACATAAACATCGACGTTTCTCAGGTTTATGAAATGTTGTAGTCATTCTCACACTCAAAGCTGTTTTCATTATGATTCATGTATATTGGAGTTATACATATTCTCATGGCATGCCGACATTGCTCTCCCCCCAGTCTTCTGACTACCGACACTTTGCCACTACCCCAGGATATGCAAAGGAAGGTTTCTCACCCATCATCTGTACTTCTTAGCAAGTTTTCCCGACGTTTCGTCCTCAACCTAGCGGACTTCTTCAGGGAATGAATTCTCGGACCGCGCGTTGGAGATTTATAACCTATGGGTGTGGTAAGCCACACCCTAATCCTGATACTAACTCGTAAACAATCTAAGGTCTGCTTGATGTAGAAGGGAGCAGGTCTAACGACCCTGCTGAGGCTAACGACCCTAACTCCTTAGCATGTCACAGACCTATTGTCTGCTGGGATGCTCAAGTGGAGTGCAGGTTTCACCCCTCCTAACTCATTAGCATGTCACTGACCTTGTCCCAAGTTAGGGCGTTGTTTTTAGGATGTCGTCATAGATGCGAGGCAAAACAAATCTTAACCCTCCTCCTCTGTTAAGAGAAGGTTTTTGTTTCCTCACAAAAATGGCTTCTTTCACCCCTCTCTCAAACCAATTCTTCTCCCGAGCCAGAATTTTAACCTCTGTGTCATCCACCGTGTGGTTGGAGGCCTTGAGGTGGAGATGAACAGCCGACTGTGGCCCACTAGAGTTTTCTCTACGATGTTGGTAAAGTCGTTTCTGTAGAGTTTGTTTGGTTTCTCCAATATAGTGGTCAGTGCACTCCTCTTCACTACATTTAATTGAATACACCACATTGCTCTGTTTGTGTCTGGGTGTTTTGTCTTTGGGATGCACTAATTTCTGTCTTAACGTGTTGAAAGGTTTGAAATACACAGGGATTTTGTGTTGCCTAAAGATTCTTTGTAGTTTCTCTGAAACTCCCGCCACATACGGTAAGGACACCCCTCTCCTCCTACTTTCTTCTGTCTGTTGGACTGTGTCTCTGGCCTTTCTCGTCCTTTGGGCTTTAGTAAAAGACCACTTGGGGTAGCCACATCTGGAAAGTGCTCTCTGAACATGTTTGGTTTCTCTGTTCTTTCCTTCCGAGCTTGTGGGGACCTGGTGGGCTCGGTGTTGAAGCGTTCTAATGACCCCGAGTTTGTGTTGTAGCGGATGGTTTGAATCAAAGGCCAGGTACTGGTCAGTGTGAGTGGACTTTCTGAAGACCTCAGTCTCTAATTGTCCGTTCTCCAGTATGATGACCTTACAATCTAGAAAGGCCAGTTCACTCTCCTTAGCATCCTCGCGAGTGAAATTTATAAAAGGGTCCACCGAATTAATGTTTTCTGAAAATGGTTCCACTTCCTGTTTCTTTAACTTAACCCATGTATCGTCTACATATCGAAACCAATGGCTTGCGCTGTCCCTTGGTAAGAGCCCAGGGCTTGTTCCTCCAGTTTCTCCATATACAGATTGGCCACTATAGGAGAGACTGGGGAGCCCATCGCACAGCCATGAATCTGTCTAAAGAAGGTGCCTCTAAATTGGAAATACGTGGTGTTAAGACACATTTCAAGTATTTCACAGATGTGGTCAGCTGTTAGTTTCGTTCTCTCCCCTAGTGTGGCGTCTTTCTGTAGGCTTTCTCTTACAGCCTCCACCGCCTCTGTAATAGGACCGACGTGAAAAGCGATGTCACATCAAACGAGACCATTGTCTCATCTGTGTCAAACTGGAGGTGTTTGATTTTATTTACAAATTCTTTTGTGTTTTCTATGTGATGGTGGGTGTTACCCACCAAAGGAGCCAGAATGGTTTTGAGGTGTTTAGCCAGGTTGTAGGTGATAGAGTCTATGCTACATACAATAGGCCGAAGTGGAAAGTTGCTTTTGGACATTTTTGCACATTAATTTACACTCATGGACATTGGTCATCTTAACCATGGGCAAAGGCCAAATGGTTTGATTCTCTGATCTTTGTAAAGTCGGTTGGAAACACAGGCGGACACCACACAGAGGTAGGTCCTTTCTTACCTGGACTTTACATCTTTCAGAGTCAGATTATGAACACAAGAAGTTTCTCCAGCGCTCCCACAAAATATTTTAGAGTTACGTGCAATAATCTCCAACTTCAAACCACTTCTAATCCAAGTGACGCTGGTTTGTCCTGAACATCGGCTGGTGTTGAATGAGCAGCTGAGGGTCACAGAGTCTCCTGACTTCACTGGGACCAAGTCTGGGGTCTGAACCATGGACTGTAGAGGCTCCGAGTCCTGATCCAGCTCCAGAACAGTGCCTGATCCAAAGACAGCATTAAAAGCACTGAGGACTCCACAGTAGTACGTGCCGACATCCTCCTTCCTCATCTGCTTTATGGTCAAAGTGGTTTGATCATTGGCTGAAGCAGTTATCTTATCATTTAACCCTAACCCTTTCTTTATCTTCTTCTGTTATTTCTAGTTTATTTCGCAAAATAGTACTTGTGGTTTGGCATTAGCAAACAGCGGACTATGACTGATACTGCCCAAATCTCTTGCACATGTAGTTATAATTAGAGCTCTCATTGGCACTCAGAAGATATCTTTCTACCCGCTGCTTAACAACAAATATAATGTCTCCAAATAAGTTCTAAGCTCTTCTGTAGTAAAGTCCAGTTTCTTCCTCCAATGACAGATTATCAAATGTTTTAAAGATCTATAAGTGAATCTTTTAGACACCATTTAAACATGCTGCTAACTTCTACAACTGAAACTTGTCCAGTGTCTAAAAGAACGGCTTTAATCTGACATTATCTAATACTTTATGTTTCTGTCTTCTATAATAACTGAACATTGTGAGAGAAAAGCACCGGCTCCAACCGGATATGACCAAAACAAAAAAGTCAGTACAGATGCAGAGATACACCCTTCAAACCACAGCCTTCAGTCCTGTGTGGCTTTGGCAGCAGAATGTGAACGTGTCCGACGGACCATGATGCACTGCTGCTGAGAGAGCCTGTGGTTTCACTGAAGCTGTGAAAATAACCGGCTTTTCTTCATCAGTTCAATGACAAAACAGACCTGGACATGAATTTAAAAAAGTGTATTATGTCTTCTTTATGTTTAAGGCTTGAAACGTCAGACTGACCACGCCCCCCCCGCCGGACTGTGGCCTCTGGAGAAGTGAGTCCCAAGTGTGAGCCAAGGTGAAGGCCCCCCTCGTCTCTGTTGATGGTACCTGCTACCAGTGTACTTAAGTCTGAATGGAAGAACATAAATACAACAGATGGAAGCAAAAGGCGACTGAAATCAGGAAGTTTCTTTACACTCTGTCTTATTTAAAGAAACTTCAAAGTCTTAGACCTGGAGATGTTTTATCTTCATCCACTTTAATACTCTGAGGCTAAAATCTTCCTGATTTATTGACATGTATTTTAGGTGTATGTAAGAACAACCCAAGCTTTGATAGGTTTCTTACTTGCTTTAACAAATGTAAGTTATTCTCCGATAAAAACGAGTATCTGACCCGAAAAAAAAAACACAAATATCTGAAGTTTCCTCCAAAAACAAACAACAAGATGAGTTTAAAGTATTTTATTTCATAGCAAACATCAGAGAAAACAAACACATTTCTTCAGAGCGAGGAGTTGATGGAAGCGTTTGGGTTCAGAGCTGGGTCCTCATTCGCAGTGACAGTACCAGACCTTTGTGTACGAGTCTCGGTCTCTCCTGAGTCTCGCTGTGGTCGACCTGGAGGAAGACAGCAACTCCCCAGCTGTGTACGTGAGGCCGTCGTCAGGCTGTAACCGAGGAGAAACTCATGAAAACTCACAATTAGTTGTATCTGCATCCAAAGACTGCTTCATTCATTCACAGACGACACGTCTGGCTCAGACATTTTGTTTGCATCGGGTTCCTGTACAACACGGGGTTCATGTGGTACGGGATTGTGTTCATTCATTCATTCATTTATGCTAATTACTACTGTTGAACTGAATCGTTCTTTTATCTAAATTCTGATAATCATTTTTATATTTTGGATTCTGATACATTGTTGTCACTGTCAGTTCTTTTACTAAAGCTTTTTTATCTCTTTGTACTGCAGCACTACTGCATACTACGGCAGTGGATGTTTATAAAATACACTTGAAAAATAAATCACCAGGTTTTGACGCGGCATTTATCAACAGCGCAGGAGCGAAAACTCAGATCTGTTGCATCTCACACGTTCATAAATGCCACGTCGGATGTTGCGTAAATGGAATATACACCTCTTTTCTAACGCAAATTTCATACAGAGGCCCAATGTAGTTATAATTAGAACTCCATCGGCACTTAGAAGAAATTTTTCTACCCGCTGCTTAACACAAATAGAATGTCTCCAAATAAGTTCTAAGCTCTTCTGTAGTAAAGTCCAGTTTCTCCTCCAATGAAAAGATATCAAATGTTTTTTAAGATCTATAACAGATCTTTTAGACAACAGTTTAAACATGCTTGCAAAATCTACAACTCGAAACTTGTCCTGTGTCTAAAAGGAAACGACTGAATCAGACATGTTCTAATACTTTTATGTTTCGTCCTCATTAATAACTGAACATTGTGAGAGAAAAGCACCGCTCCAACCGGATAGGACCAAAACAAAAAAGATCAGTACAGATGCAGAGATAACCCTTCACACCACAGCCTTTCAGTCCTGTGTGGCTTGGGCACAGAATGTGAACGGGTCCGAGGGACCAGGATGCACTGCTGAGGAGGAAGCCTGTGTTTCTCTGAAGCTGTGAAAAATAACCGCTTTTTCTTCATCATTCAATGACAAAACAGACCTGGACATGAATTTAAAAAAGTGTATTATTCTTCTTTATGTTTAAGCTTGAAACGTCAGACTGACCACTGCCCCCCCCGCCGGACTGTGGCCTCTGGAGAATGAATCCCAATGTGAGCCAAGGTGAAAGTGCCCCCTCGGCTCTGTTGATGGTACCGCTAACCAGTGTACTTAAGTCCTGAATGGAAGAACAAAATAACAACAGATGGAAGCAAAAGGCGACTGAAAATCAGGAGTTTCTTTACTCTCTGTCTATTTAAAGAAACTTCAAAGTCTTAGACCTGTAGATGGTTTTTATCTTCATCCACTATAATACTCTGATGCTAAATCTTCCTGATTTATTGACATGTTTTTAGGTGTATGTAAGAACAACCCAACTTTGATAGGTTTCTTACTTGCTTTAACAATGAATTATTCCTCCGTAAAAAACGAGTATCTGAACCCCGAAAAACACAAATGAAGTTTCCTCCAAAAACAAACAACAAGATGATTTAAAGTATTTTAGTTCAAATCAAACAACAGAAGAAACAAACACCTTTCTTCCGAGCAGGAGTTGATGAAGCGTTTGGGTTCAGATCTGGTCCTCATTCGCAGTGACATAACGAGACCTTTGTGTACGAGTCTCGTCTCTCCTGAGTCTTCGCTTGGTCGACCCGGAGGAAACTGCAACTCCCCAGCTGTGTACGTGAGGCCGACTTCATGCTGTAACCGAGGAGAAACTCATGAAAAACTCACAATTAGTTGTATTCTGCATCCAAAGAACTGATGCATTCCCATTCACAGACGAACGTCTGGCTCAGACATTTTGTTGCATCGGGTTCCTGTAACACAAACACGGGTCATGTGGTCGGGATGTGTTTCTTTCATTCATTCCCTTTAGGCTAAATTACCACTGTTGAACTGAATCGGTTCTTTTATACTAAATTCTGATAATCATTTTTTTATATTTGGGATTCTGATACATTGTTGTCACTGTCAGTTCTTTTACCTAAAGCCTTTTTTTTAACTATTTGTACTACAGCAACTATGCATACGAAGGCAGTGATGTTTATAAAATACACTTGAGAAAAAATAAATCAGTTTAAAGACTTTGGCAACTCCACCACCGTGGGTAAAACTGCCCGTGCCTTGCGGTTTTGGCCTCTGATGAACTATTAGTAGCTAATTATGAGTGAGACATCCCCTGGACATGAAAGGTCGAGCTCCAAAGTGGCCAACGTGTGTTTGGTACATATACCCAGGTGAAAAAACCGGTGTCTGATGGTTTGGCCGATAGACTGAAGAAATGGACCATTTAAACTATTTACCAAGTATTGCCTCATAGATACGACCTGGAACATCGTAACAGACGACTGTCTAAGGAATGCACTGCAATCTATGAACGAATTTCTAACATTGCTGTAATGATTGCAAGTTAGTATTTTGATGTGGCGTGGACCACAGTCAGAGTCTAGAAAGTGTTAGTCAGATGAGAAGCAGGACTTCAGTACCTGACCTAGTGAGAGAGACCGATGTCCACAGCCCATCACTTCTGAAAAAGACGTATATTCTGTGTGAGTGTGTGAGAATAAAGGCCACTGCTCGGGACATGAATGGCACTGTATGCATTATATAACGTACCTCTTTTCGGCTGCTTCTCCAAATCCCCCACATAGGCACACACACCACCAGTCCAAGCACATCGACTTGACACAATCAGAGTGAGGGCTTCGGCCTCAGAGACAACTGTGGTTTCTACAAAGAAGGAAAATAGATACTTTGAATTCCAAACTACAATTATTAAGTACTTTTCTGTCTCTGTGTACTCGCAACAGAACTTCCCTAATGTGTTTCATGGATGAAATTATTAAAATAAAGAAAACTTGAGCTTATAGAAGGCTTTCTAGGAAGTTTTTTGTTAGAAATGTTTTTTGACTATTGTTTCAGTTTTATCAAAAGAAGTAACTTCCGATTCCCTCAAGAGTGAAAGCGTCGACAGCATTCTGGATTTGAGTTCTGTAATGAAACATGTGCTGTTGTAAAAGTGTTGATCTTTACATAAAAAAATTGTAATTTTGGAAATTAACAGATAAATGTATGATTCCACAGCAAAAGTTCAAAGTTGGCCGCACGCCTCAGCTTTGATACGACCAGTGGAAAGGATTGGGGAAAGGACTGTCACCTGTGGAAACCTTCTTGTTTTTCCTCATGGCTCTGATCAGTGAGAAAGCCAGAAGCATCACCAGGACTGAGGCCAACGCCAAGGCTCCACTCAACACCTTCACAATAAATCCATCTGAAACACCATCTTTAAACAAAAGAATGTGATTGGAATGATCGTTATCAAGGAGCACAAACAGAAGCTGAAAGTATTGCCACAAATGTGATCACAGAATCAGTAATAGATTCTTTTGGACTTGGAGTTGAACAGTTTGCGTCAGAGTCGGAAACTATTAGAGGATAAATCCCCAAACCGCTGGGGAGGCAGTGTTTCAGATAAATGCAACTAAAATCTGGAACAGGCTTCCTGACAATGTGAGACAGGATTCTACTTTGACAATGTACAAATCCAGGTTAAAACAGTTTAGCTGTGCGTACAACTGAAGGATTGTATCTACACTGGGAGTCACACTGCTTTAGAAAGGACAGTTTTGACTTTTCTTTTAATTTAGCACTAAAGTCCTACTCATTTCCTTATTGATCCTACGGGGATCAATAAAGTATCTACAGTATCTATCTATCTATCTAATTTATGCAATCACCAGGGTTTGTGTGTCTGCATGTTAGTCCGTCAGTTAGTTTGCAGATTTTTATAAAATGAGAAAAAATGGGGACAATTTGGATAAGGATGTGCATCACTGTCTGTATCCACAAATGTTTAAAGTGAACTCTTCATGAAAGTCTGTGCTCTGCGAGTGCTTTTCTAGTTAACCATGTAATTGTTGAATTTAAGCAAAATGAAGCAAAATAACCCACCTTTAATCCTGACCTCGGTCCCGTTCCCGAACAGGACCTGTCCACAGGCGGCCACAGCGCAGTAGTACGTCCCAGTTTGCTCTGACCTCACGTTATGAATGTGGAGGTCGTAGAAGCAGGAGTTTGTTGGACTGTCCGTGCTTTTCTCGCACTGATCACTATTTTTCCCACGACTGTAGAGAACTCCTGCTGTGGATTCTTCAGACTTCTTGAACCAGTGAACGCTGTATGCTCCATTACAGCTCTCAGTCTGGACGCTGCAGTTTAAACTCACAGATTCTCCTCGATCTACGTCCTCATTTTCTGACTGCTGGATCTTAAAAGTCAGGTTCTGTCTCATTACAACAACATTAAAGGTTTCAGTGAAGTCCAGTTTGTGTAGATAACATCTCACACAAAGGTAAATCCCTGAATCAGACGTTTGGACACGTTTAATATTGAGGTCAAAATGCTTGTGTTGAGTTCTCAGTGAGAATCGTCGGCTGCTGTTGAATTCTCCAAACAAAGTCGGAGTTAGCTGATATCTGTCCCAATACGAAACACAAACTGTCTTTTTGCCTAAACTTTGCTTGTACCAATAATATGTTTCTCTATACTTGTTGAAATCTTTGTTGAAACAGGGCAGAGTGATGCTGTCTCCAGGAGCAGCGAAGAGGAAATGGTTTGTTTCTTGAAGATTCACTTGAGCTGAAGATCACAACAACCACAACAACGTCTGATTTTTACTCATTTCAACAGATGATAATGTTCATAATTCTAAAGTAACTCACCGTTAGTGGCCAAGACTAGACTGAAGACCAACACGAGACTGAAGACCAGCAGAACTCTGAACGGTCGTCCCATGTTGAGATGCAGGTGCAGACTGGAAATGGTTGATCCCGCCTCTGCTCTTTACAGCCAAGCTCGCATCTGATTGGCCGACAAGATGAAAGGATCTGATTTGCTGCATTTCAATCTACTGCACAATCTAATGTTGTTGAATTATTATCATCGCAAGAGGCTCTGATGGAAAAATTCAGGTGCAAATAAGTCGTGAGATCTATGAGATATTGTTGTGCTGCTCAAGTCCAGAGAGAGAGAGATTGACTCGATGAGTTGTAGCCTGTTTTCTATGGGAGTGGATCTCTCCTTCTCTGAGGACTAAACAAACACATATCTACTCTAGATATTACAGAGATGAAGTCAACATTGATATGTGTTGCTCAAGGCTTCTCTTTATGCGTCCTAACGCTGCTACAACTCTGATATATGTAACAATCTGCTTTTGAACTGAACATATTGTTCTATGACCCAGGTCAAAGACATGATGCACCACGTCTCCATCTATCACTGACCTGAGCCAACAGAGCATTATGGCCTGTATCTGAATCCAGAGTTGACTATTAGTTAATAACTTACACTCATAACTATTTGGTGTTAATTCAGGTCGCTTTACTAAAATATTTCTATAACATTAGACCTTTGAGTCACCTTGTGTATGAACTATGCTATACATATAAACATACCTTGCCTTGCCTTTCACTGAACACCACCTTTAAAATAAATCCCAGCTATGCTGTAGCAAAGGCAGGTTTTATTAATATGAGAGAATGTTTGAGTTTGTCAGGTATGTAAAGGTAATATATTGTAACTATAGACTGTTTGTAAGGTCAAGATAAGATAGACTTATTTGATCTCACACTGGAAAAAGGTACATGTCACATTTGGCACAGATAGAATCACTCAGATTGTGCAAAGGACAGAAGTGTGCAACATGTTAAAGGTTAAAAGTATAATCTGTGCAGGATATAATTATGTACAATAAAAGAGTGGCAGTAATTTCAGTCCTTGTGCATCAGTGACTTGTACAGTCTGACAGTGGGTGAGGCCTTCATCCCTCCTGTCCTTCACCTCCTCCACAGAGTCCAGGGGCCTCCTGTCCCTCACCTCCTCCACAGAGTCCAGGGGCCTCATGTCCCTCACCTCCTCCTGACCAGCTTGTTCAGTCTGCTCCTGTCCCACTCTGTGCTGCCCGGGGCCCAGCACACGGCAGCGTAGTATATGGCAGAGGCTACCACAGAGTCATAAAAAGTCCTGAGCAGAGGCCTGCTCACTCAGAAGGACATCAGCCTCCTCAGAAGGACCTCAGTCTCCTCAGAAGGACCTCAGCCTCCTCAGAAGGACCTCAGTCTCCACAGAAGGACCTCAGTCTCCTCAGAAGGACCTCAGCCTCCCCAGAAGGACCTCAGTCTCCTCAGAAGGACCTCAGTCTCCTCAGAAGGACCTCAGTCTCCTCAGAAGGACCTCAGTCTCCCCAGAAGGACCTCAGTCTCCTCAGAAGGACCTCAGTCTCCCCAGAAGGACCTCAGTCTCCTCAGAAGGACCTCAGCCTCCCCAGAAGGACCTCAGCCTCCTCAGAAGGACCTCAGCCTCCCCAGAAGGACCTCAGTCTCCTCAGAAGGCCCTCAGCCTCCCCAGAAGGACCTCAGTCTCCTCAGAAGGACCTCAGTCTCCTCAGAAGGACCTCAGTCTCCTCAGAAGGAAGAGGCAACTTTGGCCCTTCTTGTGCAGGGCGTTTGTATTATGGACCAGTCCAGTTTATTGTTAATGTGAACACCCAGGTACTTGAAACTGTCACCAGCTCAATGTCCTCCCCCTGGATGTTCAGCAGCGTGTGGGAAAGTGGTTTTCTCCTGAAGTCGATGATCATCTCCTTGGTCTTACTGGTGTTCAAGCACAAGTGGTTGCACTCACATCAGTCGACAAAGTCCTTGATAACCGACCGATATTCCAGATCGTTCCCCTCAGACACACAGCCCACGATGGCGGAGTCGTCGGAGAACTTCTGCAGGTGACAGCTGTGTGTGTCGTGTGTGAAGTCTGAGGTGTAGATGGTGAAGAGAAACGGTGAGAGGACAGTGCCCTGAGCTGCTCCAGTGCTGCAGACTACCACCTCAGGCGAATGAAGGCATCTGATGATCAATCTTTTTATGTCTCATATCTGGGTGACAATTCAAAGACAATATGCAGATTTAAACACAGGATCACGGATGTTTTAAGCCCAAAATGGCGAGTGTGACATAAACTTCCCTATTGGGTTTCATTGAGTTAGCAGCTAAGCTGTATACATTCCATATAATTACAGTCTATGCTAGGAACCAACTTCACGGAGGAGTTTGTCCTGTTTTATTCTACATGGTTTGGTTAACTGCAGCAGTAAGTTTGCTCTAAAACAAACAAACAACAATTTGAGTTTAAAGTATTTTATTTCATAGCAAACAACAGAGAAAACAAACACATTTCTTCAGACAGAGGAGTTGATGGAAGCGTTTGGGTTCAGAGCTGGGTCCTCATTCGCAGTGACAGTACCAGACCTTTGTGTACGAGTCTCGGTCTCTCCTGAGTCTCGCTGTGGTCGACCTGGAGGAAGACTGCAACTCCCCAGCTGTGTACGTGAGGCCGTCGTCAGGCTGTAACCGAGGAGAAACTCATGAAAACTCACAATTAGTTGTATCTGCATCCAAAGACTGCTTCATTCATTCACAGACGACACGTCTGGCTCAGACATTTTGTTTGCATCGGGTTCCTGTACAACACAGGGTTCATGTGGTACGGGATTGTGTTCATTCATTCATTCATTTATGCTAATTACTACTGTTGAACTGAATCGTTCTTTTATCTAAATTCTGATAATCATTTTTATATTTTGGATTCTGATACATTGTTGTCACTGTTCTTTTACTAAAGCTTTTTTATCTCTTTGTACTGCAGCACTACTGCATACTACGGCAGTGGATGTTTATAAAATACACTTGAAAAATAAATCATTTTTAAAGGAACTTTGCAACTCCTCCAGCCGTGGGTAAAACTGCCCGAGGCCCTGTGGTTTTGGCCTCTGATGACTCCATCCATCCATCCATCCATCCTCTTCCCCTTAATCCATTTCTGGGTCGGGGGGGGTGGCAGTCAGAGCTGCACCCAGTCCACTTAGCACCAGCCCCTCACTGATCCTCCTGCAGGTGGTGAGTCCACAGGAGCTGAGATCTTTCAGTGGGGGCTTCAGGCAAAGTGGGGTTAAGTGTCTTGCCCAAGGACACAACGACAGCAGTCATCAGTGGGAGTCGTGAAGTAGGTCTTATGGTGGGCTTGAACCCATGACCTTCAGGCCCAAAGGCCAATGCTCTACCAACTGAGCTACTGTCGCCCTCTGATGACTCATTTACTCTAATTATGAGTGGGAACAATCCCTGGACAGTGAAAGGTCGAGCTCCAAAGTGGCCAACGTGTTGTTTGGTACATATACCTCAGGTGGAGCCGGTGTCTGATGGTTGGCCTGAATAGACTGTAGAAGGACCATGTAAACTATTTACCATGTTTGGCCTCAGAGATGACGACCTGGACCATCGTAACAGACGACTGGCTACAGGAATGTACTGCAATCTATGAGACTGAATTTCTAACAATTGCTGTGATTGATGCAAGTTAGTATTTGATGTTGGTGTTGGACCACAGTTCAGAGTCTAGAAAGTGTAGTACAGATGAGAAGGCAGGACTTCAGTCTGACCTGAGTGGAGAGAGACCGATGGTCACAGCGCTTCACTTCTGAAAAAGACGTATATTCTGGTGTGAGTGTGTGAGATAAAGGGCCACTGCTCTGTGGACATGAAATGGCACTTATGCATTATATAACGTACCTCTTTTCTGGCTGCTTCTCCAAATCCCCCACAGTAGGACACACACCACCAGTCCAAGCACAACGACTGACACAATCAGAGTGTAGGGCTCGGCCTCAGAGAGAACTGTGGTTTCTACTGAAGACAGAAAATATATACTTTGAATACCAAACTACAAATATTGAGTACTTTTCCATCTTCTGTGTACTCGCAACAGAACTTCCACTAATGTGTTTTCAATGGATGAAATTATTAAAATAAATAAAACTTGAGCTTATAGAAGGCTTTTCTAGGAAGTTTTTTGTGAGAAATGTATTTTGACTATTGTTACAGTTTTATCAAAGAAGTAACTTCCTGATTCCCTCAAGAGGTGAAAGAGACACATATAAGATATCTTTTCCGTACCGTTCACATGGATCCTTGTCCCAGTGAGAGTGTGTCCACAGGCGGACACCACACAGAGGTAGGTCCCCTCGTCTCTGGACTTTACATCTTTCAGAGTCAGATTATGAACACAAGAAGTTTCTCCAGCGCTCCCACAGAATATATTCTCATTTACAGAGTTACGTTCAATAATCTCAGACTTCAAACCACTTCTAATCCAAGTGACGCTGGTTTGTCCTGAACATCGGCTGGTGTTGAATGAGCAGCTGAGGGTCACAGAGTCTCCTGACTTCACTGGGACCAAGTCTGGGGTCTGAACCATGGACTGAAGAGGCTCTGAGTCCTGATCCAGCTCCAGAACAGTGCCTGATCCAAAAGCAACTTCATTAGATTTCGGTACTCCACAGTAGTAGGTGCCGACATCGTCTGTTCTCATGTTCTTTATGGTCAAATTGGTTTCATTTGGAGTAGACGTGACTGAAATATCATCAAACTCTTTTTCTTCATTGGCCATATTTGTTGACGCGATCAGATTTAGATTCCTGTTGGTGCTTTGTTTATACCAAACCCTGTTCCTCCAAACACTCTTGGTCAGACACTTCAGAACCACGGTCTCTCCGAGCTTTGCCCTTTTCAAACATTCGAGCTGTTGGACTTGTCGTGTCTGAGCCGCACCTGAAAAACAACACAAAAACAACACACAGGTTCTGAAAAGTCTGTAAATGTCCCAGTTTTCTCTGCAGATCTGCTCAAACTCACACAGCGTCCAGAGCACAGGGAGGAGGACAGCGTTCAGCATCACCATCG